TATATATATATATATATTTATATACCTCTCTCCAGTACATCCTTGAGTAAAGATAATCCCACAAAACTTACCCAGACACCCTTGTACAGATTGATGACATCACACAGTCATAATTTGTTTCAGAACAGAACAGCATGAATAAACGATACTGAGAGAACATAATAACACCTGTATTGGGAATGTCAAATGCTATATTCACCTTAACAATGTTAATGGAAAGATGTATTGAAGCACAGAAAGGTCTGTATTTATGCTTCATAGACTATTCAAAGGCGTTTTTATAAAGTAAGACATGATGAGCTATTTAGAATACTGGAAACGCTAGACATAGATGGAAAAGATCTAAGAATGATCAGAATTTTGTACTGGGCCTAATACGCTGCTGTAGGAATTGATGGAGAATACAGTGAATATAAGCAGATCAGGCGAAGAGTGAGGCAAGGATGTATTATGTCACCAGACCTCTTTAACATGTACAGTGAAACAATCCTTAGAAACATAGAAAATGTCCAGGCCTCAAAGTAAATGGAGAAAATATTAATAACATCGGGTGTGCAGATGACACAGTTTAATAGTAGGCTCCGAAAAGGACCTTCAATTTCTTCTAGATACAGTTGTAACAGAAAGTGAACGTAAAGGATTATTGTTGAATGTAAAGAAAACAGAATGCATGGTAATATCCAAAAAAGCAGCAAACCCTATTTGTAATCTCATTAGCAAAGGTGAAAAGATCAAACAAGTCCAACAGTTTAAATATCTCGGATATATTGCGCCAAATGTTCCACTGAAATAAAAAGGAGAACTACAATGGCTAAGGCTAGTTTCAATAAAATGAGCCCAATCCTGAAAAAAGAAACATCTCAAAGAACACCAAAATGAAAGTCCTGAAATGCTGTGTTTGGTCAACCCTTCTAAATGACTGTGAATGCTAGGCAATCACTAAAGACAGTGAAAATAAAATAGAAGCAACAGAAATGTGGTTTCTTAGGAGACTACTAAGAGTATCGTGGAAGAAAAAGAAATCAAATGAGGTATAGTGCTTGATGAAGCCCACGTGGGATGCTCAATGTTAAAAACAATCAGGAAACGACAAATGCAGTTTTTATGACACCTGAATAGACATAAGGGTCTTGAATATCTGGCTCTCACTGGCAAAATTGAGGGCAAGCGAGGCAGGGGTCGGCCCAGAACAGCATACTTAGGGAACCTAAACAAACGGGTAACAGGGAAAGATCAGGGAAACGTAGCTTTTTTTAGAGCATCCGAGCAAAGGAATGAATAGAAAACCATGATAGCCGATGTCTGTCTCAGATCTGGCACTGGATGATGATGATTGGGAATGTCAGAAATTACAGATTGAAGCTGGCCTGAAATAAATGCGTTTTAAGTGCTGATTTCAATTTTGTTAAAGTGATAGACTCTCGTAGATGAGCTGGCAAAGCGTTCCACAGGGAGGGGGCGTGGTGTGAACAAAGTTTTCAGTGAATTACAAAGACAAGCAGAGAAAGGAAACGGTAAACCACTGGTGTGATCTCCCAACACAAACCACTATAAATCAAATCACAATTCAAAGATAACAGTTATAATGGGGTCATGATCTACCTCTGAGCTCCTCCCTCGTTAGGGACTGCCTTTGGTAACAGGTGCCGCCTGATCGTCGTCCAATTGCTAGCTGCAAAACTAGACTTAAAACATTTAAAATATACACTTGGAGTGTAAGAACCATGAGCCAGAAAGACAAATTAGATAATATAAATCAGAAAATGGACAAGATGAAGCTAAACATTTTAGGTCTTTCAGAAGTTAAATGGGAGGGGGCAGAAAAATGGGAGGGGGCAAGCTTGATTAAAACAGGTTCGAAAACATAAGTATATTTAGGAGGGAAGTAAACAATAACAATAATCACACTGTCCCCACCTGAATGGACGGATGTGTGTCCAGACATTTCCCAACCTTTGTGAACCGAAGCAAAACGTTGAGCTCCTTGTTTGGCAAATAGCCCAACTTTTTAAAAATATCAAAATATTTATTATTTTCACTTTTTCGTTGTCAAGTTAGTAGGGTTTTCATCTTTGCGGTTTTCTCAAAATCATATTTATTCATTATAGCGACGTTGCTTTTGCGTCATGCTGCCTAGACTCTCATTGATTCAGGGAGATGACTGTTTTCATCA